CAGCAATGTGCAAGTGCCAGTCGCAAGCAAGGCGTTGGCAACCACTAAAGGATTCCATGGCGGTTCTGGTGTGAGTCTAGCGTGCTTCGCGACGGAACAGACAACTTGTTCGGTGTTAGCACGCGGCATAGCGGTAGCCATTCCATTTCGTTTCTGGTGATGGATTCGTCTGGGAACATGGGCCATGGACACCGGTGGTGGAAAAAAAGCAAGCAACGGCCGGGCGGTTCCTCCTCTAAGCCACGCAAGCCTCACAAGTCCTCTCGTCACATACGGCCCGTCTACGTCTACTAACATAGTGTGGACCGAGGGAGAAAGTCTTCACTGTCGGCGGGGACGCTCCAACTAACACTCTCGCTCTCAGCTATACTAGCCACACTAGAAGTGTTTATGTCTCTCTCTCTCTGTCTGTCTCTGCTTCTTCACGTGCTAGGACGCTAAAGTCGTTCGCGAAGTTTGACACGGAGACACTAGACGACGCCGTCGCCAGCCATTTTCTCAAGCGAAGTCTGAAGTCTGCACTTTGTCTCAACGTTCCCCCGTTTCCCCGTTTCCCCGTTCCCCGAGCCTTGCAAGCGCACCAAGGCAAGCAAGCCTCAAGCCTCTCGGGGTCTGGGGAGGGTATTACGTGGTCGTCGTTTCTCCAAGTGCCATGCCAAGTTGTCGTCAAGTCTCAGAGAGGCTCTTCTGTCACAGGGCAGCACACATGGCAAAGTGCAGAGTTGCAGACATGCAAAATGCAAAGGGGAGGGAATGCAAATGCTATCAGTCTCGTCGCAGACGCAGACACAGACACCCACTTCGAAACTCTCTGATCAACAATAACCACTCACTCCCAATAACTGGTACCCATGCACCCACATGAATGAGGATGGAGGAAACCTGCTGCCATAAGCATATTAAAGCAGTGGCAAAACATCAGAGCGACCGGAGCTGTCACGGCGGAAGACTTGGGACGACATCGGCGGGACAAGACGTGACGGAGCCTGTCATTTGGACTTTGGCAAGCAACAACGGACGAGTCACCGCTTCATCCGATGCTATTCTGTTGCACAATTGTGCCTGAGAAGCTCTCGGAACTCGAGGCCTTCTTCATGCCTTGGCCCTCACAAGGAAGGGATTCCCCAACCCCCCTTGAGTCTTGACCCCGGGCCTTTCCCAGGAACTCCGTTGCCGTTCCGTCTGCATTCCATTCCAATACCCAAACCCTTTTCCTCCCATCTTTCCCGACCCTCGTCTCCAGGTCGATCACGGACCCCTTCCTTTTGAACCAGGGCAGTAGGAGCCAGAGAGAGGCGGAAGCACCTTGCAGAGGACAGGGTATGTGCGAGACATCATGGCCGGGGCCCGGGGTGGGATCAAATGTTTTGGGAAAGCAAGCACCAGGCCAAGACGATGACCACACAACACACATGCGCACATCCATGGGCCGTTCAAACTCAGAGAGCGAGAATCCGAGCAGAGAGGGCAGAAGGAGAGAAAGAGCCGACGCCAAAGACCAGACTTCATCTCTTCCTCCCCTGCGACCCGGTCCTTGCAAGGTTCAAGCCACCCTGCGCAAGCGAGGGGGGCTTTCCTGGCGCCCGAGCTAAACTGAAGATCATATTGAAATTAGCCTTTGTTTCCGACTGTCTGTTTCCCTGCCCCCCCCCCCCCCCTCCTCTCTTCCACCCCTTCACACATCTCACATTTCTCACACCCTCATGCCACGCCAATATGGAGTCTTTCCCCCTCCTTCAAGAAACAGTATCCCGGCCCCCTGATGCCCCATTCCCCTATCGATGCCGTGCCGTCTCTTTGACGCCGCCGCCGTCCGATCCCCTCGCAAAAAGCCCACAACCAAAATGGGGGAAAAAGACAAGATGGAGAGATATTGTCAGAGCACACCGACCTAACAGCAACAAGCAGCAAAGCAGGGCCCAATAGAAGAGGCTAACGAGTCGCTGACAGCTACCTTCAAACTTGACGTGCGTAACCCTTTCGCACGGCCGCCGCTGCAAGCGATGTTGACGGCGCCGAACCTAGAGGCAGACGCCAGGCCTGGAGCTTTGCGGCGACTGCGGGAGAGCTTCGCTGGCGGCTTTTCCCTGGGTGCCACAAAGCCAACCGCCCCCCCGAGTCGAGCCGGGCTGCAGTGACGAACTCTATCTAGGGGTGCGTTGCGTTGTGTTGAATTGCGATCATATGGGATCACTGGGGCCGACTTGCCTGGGCTGAACTCAACTTTGAACAGTTTCTGCTCCATTCCAATTCGGACTGATGCCCGACCCGAAAGCCTGGCGGATGGTCAATCCTTCACCACACTGATTTTCGTGGCTAAATTGTGAATGGCCAGAATGCCACTCCGGGATGCGACTCTGGTACTCAGTACTAGTTGCGTCGGCATCGCCAAGCGGCAACTGCCTGAAGGTTGCAACGCACACGACACAGTTGAGAGTTGTCTGAAGTTGTCAAAAAAGTTGTCAAAAAAGTTGTCGTCCAGAGTTGACCGGCTGTTGCCGTTGCACAAAACGGCTCTTCACATGAGTTGACGCAACGCAACGTCTTGGAAGCTGTTTCTCTATCTTTCATCCCGACGACTCCGCATGAGATGCCAAGAGCAGGCCGTTTTCCCAGCCCGTCAACCCTTTTTTATCATTAAGCTTGTCTTGAGAGCAACGTGATGAGCGTCAATCAAAACAGCATCCGGCCAGAATGCTTGCCACTCCTGCCTCTCAACCCTGCAGTAAATCCGGAATATTGTTGCAATTAATGTCCCATGATCTGGGAAGGGGTTCTTCCGTGCCCCTGTGTATTGGTATTCGTATGCCCCCCCACGGATGCGAGGCCGAGCATCATAGTAGCATAGAAACAACTCATTATGCTGGGAAGAGCCGTTGAGACAAGATTGGGATCATCTCGCGTCGTCGGCAGATTGAGCGAAGTTTGGATCTGACAATCTGCATCATGGGCAACTTGCCATTTCAACACTTCAGGACGATTCTGGAACAAAGACACCAGTCATCCGAACATGGGACCCAGCACGGCACGTTGAAGCACCGTGTCCCCCTCCCTACTCTTCTGAAGTCTCGCAGCCTTGGGATGACGTTCTGGCATCTGCACATTCGAGGCAGAAGCGACGAACGGCATAAGATCACCTCGACAATCCGGTCGCAGCACAGGGCTGGCAGGGTCTGATGAAGCTCTTGGGGCGTCACACGCCGCACGCCCCCCGACGTCAGTCAGGCACAGAGTCGTTGCTCGTCTCAAGTGCGTGCGTGTGTGCGGAGCAGTGTGTGTCTGTGGTGCGTGCCCACGGCTGGCAACCCCAGTCCACGAACACCACGGCCCATAACGAACATCTCTCTCTCCCATCGTGCCTCTTGATCTTCTTCCCTTCTAAACCAACCCCTCGGGCCTCCGTCCCAAACACACAAGCCTTCATGACAGGACAGGGGTCAGGCATCCCAGACTGCCCCGTCCTCGGAACGGGAGCAAGATACAGATTAGGAAATGGTGGCCCGAGTGGTGCCATGCATAACAGCACTGGATTCGGATTAGCCCTTGCTAGGCCAGCGGCCCACGCACCACGGCCGTGGGAGGGGGGGAGCAGGGGAGGCGTGGTCAAGGGTGTGCCGGCAGCGTGAGAGTTTGTGAGGTCAGAGAGAGACAGAGAGAGAGCGAGAAGAGCAAGAGGGCGTGTGGCCAAGACATGTACGGGACTCTCTCAGTACATTCCCGTGTGGGAGAAGGAGGAAGAGGAGTTTAGAGCAGGGCCCTGACGAACAGCTAAGGCACACGGCTGGGGTGTGTTCTTGAGCAACAGACCCTGCCGTTGCATAAACCAGTGACCGTTTGACCTTCGAGCGAGCGATCCCATTGACGTTGATCCCAGACGGGGTCAGTCGCCCTCGATCTCACCCGCAATCCCGGCTACTGCTGCCAGCCAGCCAGCAACACGGATACGCCCATTACCTACTACTCCATGTATCCGTACTGCGTAGAAGTACGGATACACTACGACTCTTTTCTTTCTGCCCACGCCTGGCTCGAGATCGTTGTTGTTATGATTGTGGTTCAGGCACACAACCAGCATCGCTCAGGATCCCCCCGATGCACCCCCAAGTAAGAGAACCGTCCAAGTATACCCTTGCCCCGTCATCCCAATATCCAGGAGGCGCTATAGCCAGGCTACAGATACATCGGGAGACAGGCATCGTGCTCGTGCTTCTCTCACTCTCTTCCTGTCTCTGCTACTTCCTACCCGTTGTCTTCCTCCTCTCCTCCCCTCTCCTCCCCTCCTCCCTCTTCACGGCCCCCGGTCTCATCTACCTAGTATCGATGACCCCGTCCTCCTCCCCTTGTCGTTCAACCTCGCAGCACGACTAGGCAGTACGTACCCCATAGATGACCCAAGACGAGGACCTTGGACTGACCCTTGCTTCGCTACCATCAGAACCACACACCCCCGTCGTCGCCGCCTTTCGTCTGGTCCCAGGCCTGGCGTAACGGTCCCAAGACTTATCCCACTCTCTCTGCCTATGACCCACACACAATTTGTGACAGGCGATTGTGGCATCTCATCGTCCAGGGATCATCGTGTGGATTTACGCTTGATCACCCATTCCACTCTGCTTCGGGAGATCTGATATACCTGCCTCCCCCATCTGCCACCTCTACTCCATCCACCCACCAACAAGCTTCTTTCACCAGGCCATTTCATACTTAAACTACCCACCCTCCCCTTCCCCCTCAACGACTTGGAATCTTGAATAACTCCTGAAGCAAAATCAATCTCTAGTATCCAGCTGGCACTTGGGGCTAATCACTACTCTACATCTAATACCTGTTGTGTTAATATTCAACGACCTACCATCATCACCATCACACCAACCAACTTTGACATCAACTCATCAACGACAAGACCGAAGTCAACTACAAGGAAAAAAGAAGCATCTACACCAAGCAACCAGCACCAAGCACACTTTACAAAGTTTTTCGGAACTCTCTAATCAGCAACAATGGCGAGCGCTTTAATATCGAACCCGTACGCTGCTCAGCAAAGCGCACACTACGGATACGTCCAACCGCCTCAACCTCCCCCATCGCCTCCCATGGACGAGACATCAAAGTGCTCTCTCCCCTCCATTTCAAATCTCCTCGGCCTCGCAGACCAGGGCTCGCCCACATCCGAGACGCACCCTCAGATTCCCCAGCAAGGTACGGATAGGACGGAAAGTACAACAGACAACAGCAACAGAACACTGACCTCCCGCATAGCATCCTCCCAAAAGTCCGAGACGAGACCAAACTCATCTCACTATGGCCGCGGCGGACTTCCTCCCACGCCTCCCATGAGCTCCGATGCCTCCTTCGATGGCTACAACTCTCCCTCGACGAGATCCGTCAGCCAGCTTTCCGTCGTCTCACAACCTCAGAGCAACTACTACTATGAGTCCACGCCGCCTCTGGAAGCCGAAGCCCACCGCCACATGGCTCCCATGATCCCAAGAGTGCCAGTCCAAGGCTCATACTCCCAGGCCCAGCCCTTCCCGCCTGCCTACATGCCCGCCCACAACCCCATGGCGGCTTCCTACTATCCTCCCATGCAGCACACCCCTCCTCCTCAGGCCCAGATTTCTGGCATCTACTACCAGCGCCCTCTTCCTCAACAATTCCCACCCATGGCCCCCGTTCCCGTCGGCATGGGACCCAATGGCACCAACCCGTGGCAACATCACCACTACATCTCCCCTTCCTCTGCGGCATCCTTCCCCCAGAGCCAGGATCGTTACATCTGCCAGACCTGCAACAAGGCCTTCTCCCGCCCTTCATCCCTTCGCATCCACAGCCACTCCCACACCGGCGAGAAGCCCTTCAAGTGCCCGCACGCCGGCTGCGGCAAGGCCTTCAGCGTCCGCAGCAACATGAAGCGTCACGAGCGTGGATGCCACAACTTTGAGAGCGGCAGCACCTGCAGCAACTGATCGACGATTATAATTTGAACGGTTATCTCTATTTACTGTTATGATCAATACGACAAAAATCCCAGGGTGGAGTCGTCAAACGCGCAAAAAAGCTGGAACAGCAAAGGGGAAGGGGTTCGGACCGGTTTCAACGGGAAAGATACCACGTGGTAGAACATAATCACTTCTACCGCGACTGCAACAACAAACGACATTCAATTTTAACATCATAATCAGTAACGACGCAAAGAAACAAAACAAAAAAAACCCAAACCAAAGTCTTTTCAATGGCGTTCAACAACTACAAAAGAGGGTTCCCCACGGATTGGAGAACATCATCCATTGGCGGTCCTCTGGATACGGGGAAGACGGGTCACTCAAGGCAGAGGAAGAAACCTCTTTTTTCTCGACATGTGTTAAAGTTGGCTTCCTCTTCTATTTTCCTTTCGTCTGCTTTTACTACCGGAGCAAGAGGCGTGAATCATGGCTGGGGCAAAACTGGTCACGGACAAGAAGTCCAGCCAGGCAATGAGAAAACTTGGCATTTACGGGCGTTTTGAATTGTATACGGGGGTGGGTGGATCGTGTGTGGATGTGGCACGACGTTTATTGTGTGTGACTAGTTCTCTGGTTCGGAGGCAAGTCGAGAGTCAAGGTTAATCCTGCGAGGATTTCTCTGTCTTGGCAGTGTTTTGGGTTTTTTTTTCTACTTCTCTTTCCATTATTATTATTCCGGTTCTTGAACGATTATATCAAAATGTACGATCATGTGGTAATGTATATAGAAAGGAGAAGCCGCACAGAATCGAACAGAGGAGAGGATTGAAAGATCATCATCATCATCAGTTTCCCATACTGTTGCACAGTCACTTGGTGGTTTCGTCGGTGTCTTTTTTTTTGGCCACAGCTTTTCGTCCCAAGACGTACCATGTGTGGGCTTTACCTTGTGGATTGTGTTGCAATGAGGCGAACTCGGTCCCCTTGCAACACAAGAAGACTGGACCGAGCACGTAGGAAAGCTCGGATCAGTCCGATTCATCTCCCCATCACTAACATATCACTAATCTTTTGACTACCGCTATTGTGTTTCCTCACCGACTCACACGTATTCGGAATAGTTTCTCCGACACAGGCACCCATAAACATGAAAGTATGGTTGCTTTGAGCCATCGCTTACTAGGTACGTTGACTTCGAAGCTTGAGACCGGACGGAAAAACCGCCGATCGCAACATTGTGAGATGGCAGCTGCTGATGACACAGGCACACCCGTTAAACTCCACCAGGTGAGAGGGGAAGGGGAGGGGAGGGGAGGGGGTCAGGCTTACCATTTTCTCCGTGGATCTAGCTATCTACATAGGTACCTCGTCTGTTTCCATTGATTGAAAGGCAAATAAGAGCCCAGGTTCCAGAGCGGGAACGTTGGGTCTCGGGGAGAAGTGCGGCGAAAGAGGAGGCGGTAGGGCGGAAGACGGCAATGATTGACACCAGGGGAAACCAGCCCGGAGAAAGGAAAAAAAGAGAAGAGAAAAAAAGGGCAGATGATCGACGCTGCAGAAAGGTGTCAGAGAGTTTGGTGGTGCTCTTGGGATGAGACAGTCAGGAGATTTACGCTTAAAAAATCCACCGCCTGATTTTTCTTGTTAGGTGGTATGTGCCTCTCTCTACCAGTTTCTCTCTCACTCTGTTGTGTAAGGTGTAAGAGAAGTGAGGTCAGTGTTGCCTTTGCATGTTTTTGTTTCGGCCGGTCTTTTTCGCCGTTGATCGTGTACATGGTTGACCGATGGAACCCAAAATCTCTCTCTCTCTCTCTCTCTCTCTCTCTCTCTCTCCAACGTCTAAAAAGGCCAGATTGGTTTTGTCCACGGCAAAATAGCCGCGGTGCTGAAAGTCATGCGGCCAACCATCGTCTCTCTTACGGCTGATTCCTTCGACCTTTAGCAAGGTAACTCCAAGTTGTCTGCTTGTCCCTATGGAGTCTATTTTGCCTTTCGCTCCTTCGCCTCATCGCTACTTGACACGAGACTTGCCCGACATTCTTTTATTGTTCAGACCGATGAAACGAACCGGAGACCCCAGCCCGAGCGTTGGCCCTCACTCTGACTGGCTGGCTGACTGAATTGACTGACATCCCATCCATTCTTTTTCTTTTTGCCTTTCCGTTCCTGATCCCATCCCTTCCCGCAACCGCAATGCGGCTGAAGTGTGAGATTGAGAAAGTGTGTGATGTGACACCTGACTGGGGGGGGGAGAGTTGGCTCTTGCACTGCTCTGTCAGCCATGTATAATAGGCTCGACAGTGTCTCGTGCACGTCACGGAGTGGGCTTTTTCTTGACTTCATTGTTTCTACGCTGCGGTCTGTGTGTTCGCTTCGCACGGCACGGCATTGAAGAATATCTGGTGTTGTTGGTATGTGCTCGCATACATGTACCATGCGGCAGACACACACATACACAGTACTTCCTGAGCCAGTTTGTTTTTTCTTTACGAGTGACTGATTCGGGGCTCTCGTGGAAGGATGATGACATGGAGAGTTTTAAGATTACATTGTCTTAACTCAGCGAGATGTAGCTCTGTAGCTTTTCGAATTAAGGAGCCTCCACCTGTTGGTGGACAATCACTAACCTCACAAACGTACGCGGCCCTGCTCGGGAATTCATTTTTCCCAAATGTTTAGCGCCACCGAACCGGAGCAACTGAGTCTTCAAAGTCCGAGTTGAGAAATGGCCGACCCGCTGGCCTTACGGAGTACGTGGGTTTGTTTGCTCTAGCAGTTCAGCTTCGCTGTCCAAAAAGGCACAGAGTGTCAGTGACAAGACAAATCGAGCCCGATTCTCGTTGATCTGACTAGCGTCGCTGGCTGAGTCGATGGGTCTCTGAGGTGGGCGGGGAGGGGCTCGGGGAGTTGGAGGATCGAAACTCTTTTGCACCACAGAAGCGCCGGTGGCCACACACACACATACAAAGTACACAGAGTGACAGAGTAACATACACTACACTATCCGAACCCGCGTGAACCAAAGAAGAGCAAAGTCTGGTATGACAGCGCCGGGCCAACCCCGGGTGAAGAGGAAGGGAAGGAAAGGGAAAGCAAGGTAGGGGTCGGGGAAAGGGATGGCTGTCAGGATTGCTGCAGCCAACGCCGATCCGCGCTGCGATAGAGAGTGGGAGACGGCAGGGGGAAGAAACAAGACCTACAACTCTAAACCGGGGGGTGTTCAAGAAAGTCGGCCACTGTAACTGGACAGAACTCAGAAGGGGGCTTTGCTTTCTTGGACACTGCGACGGTAGCATCGAGGGGACACGGGGACACGGGGATGGGAAGATCACAGTACGCAATTTGGGGACAATTTCTCGGGGCCAAGGTCGGAAAATGTCCATTTACGACCTGTTACGACGTGGGCGACTTTCCCATCGCGGCTTCAACGGTGCAACGGCGCCAAAAAGGGGAGACGATGGCGTAGCATCAACGGCTGGGGGGACTCAGCTTTATTGGCCTGGTGGCGCGAACTACTTTCTCTGCTGCCATTCGTCTCTTTCTTGCCGGTCAGGGCAGAAAGGATTCAAAGGTACTCTGTATGTCGGCGGCACATTAAGCTTCTCGTGTCATCCTGACTCGGCCTGCAACGTCAAAGTCTCTCAAGTGTCATGCTGCAATATTGACAAGAAGCTTTCCCGCCAGGTGTTTTGTTTGTCACTATCGATCTGTCGTTTCTCGCCCCCCTTTCTTTTTTTTTTGTTTCTTGATTACTCCGTAATATAATGAATCTTAATGATTTTACCCTCTTTTTTTTTTTTCTCATTTAGAACGGCCCCTTTGATCTGACAGGGTTCGTAGAACTCTGTTGATATGATTTGCAAAGGATCAAGGTGCCCTTAATTGCAATTATGTTATATTATTCCGTGTTTTACCCATTGAGTCAATCTTCTGCCCATCATGGGCACTCGTTGTTTTGATGGATGGATCTCGGACCCTTAATTCATCGTACTCATGTTAATACGTGCGTATGTAATACCAAGCTTTTCCTTCGCTGGAATCGTGTTGGAGAAAATGGGGACTCTCCCCTCGAGCGGGGTTGCTGACTTACGACTCTAAGACATGGCTTGACAAGCTTGTCAAAAAACCCCCCGAGGAAGCCGGCTTGTTATGGGAAGTCCAATCTCGGGAGTCGGGCGGACGCGGAGTGGATCGACTGGCGCTCCGAGATGAGGCTTTCAAGCGCCGCTGGCACGGATGTACGGAGTAGTACCCTTCTCCAAGTGTATGTGTTTACGACCTGTGTCCTACGAGCTGTCTGGTGTTTTGGCCATCGCATGGGAATGGACCCTTACTTTGATGACGATGCTGTTGTTATTATTGTTATTCTTCATGCCCCCTTTCCACAACGGCCTTTCTCGACAAGCCCTTTCCCAGTTACGAAGAGAATGGATTTGACCCGCAAACGGTGATCACCATTCCATCTCGCAGCGCAGAAGAGGGACGATGCCTGCAGCGCCAGGTACAAAATCCACAGGAAAACGGCGTGGGAGCCCGGTTTGCATGCAGAGTCAAAAGGAACTCGCCCGACGCAGGGAGGAGGGGCCGACGACAATGACTCTCTGTAGACTGTGGGTAGAGCGAGCCGGCAACCGTTTTCTCCATCAAGAAGCTCAGTAGTCTACTCCGTACGCGCGCTACGGATATTCCGTAGAGCGTGGAGTGATTGCTTTCAACGTTCATCTCACTGTCGTCAGCCACAGGGCAGTGCTTGCCTTTCTGCCCCTCCCTGTGCTTTCACTGCAATCTTGGAGTCGAAAGGTTAGTCTCTAATAAGGCATTATAAGAGTACACTACAGAGCCCGGTAGGATAACACGGCTAGTTACTAATGACTCTGCCCTCACGCTAGACGCAGACCAAAATCCTTCTAGCGCTGCACGCCAGAAAGTCAAAACCAGGGACGAGGGGGGCACACCTTTCACGTCCTTTGGCGGAGCGATCTTGGCTAACGATAGCTTGGGGCCCCTCCCTCCACCTTCCCGAG